GAAAGAACTTAATTTCCACTTTGTTAATGAACTAGATCATGGAAACTCTATTTGAGGAGCCTGAGACACAATCAAAGCAGAAATCCCAGAAGAAGAAATTGTTGGAAGCTTTGGAAAGCATACTTGATTGTGTACAGAACCCTATTTTACCATCCTATATTGCAAGAAACTTACTGAAAATTCTTCATGAAGTGCATGGTGAAGTAAGTGCAATGTTTCTAGTCTTATGGGTTCTGTAGTTGATTAAAATGCTGAAATGAAATTTTATTTAGTAAGAATGCTGTTAAATAACTTCATAATGTATTAGACTATTAAGTACTAAGTTAATACTTCTAATACTATGCAGTAGTGCTGCAGAGTATGATTTAATTGAACATAAAATATTTGCATACTCCATCCAGGAATGTAACAGCTGCAGAATTTTGCACTGGAGTTCTTAAGGAAACTCCCTTGATGTTACTGAAAACGAGTGTTTCAGAAGAAATGTATTACCTTGGTTAGATATCAGTGACCCTATATAGTTTACTGTACAGAATTTTAATGTATGAGGTAGTATTATCAATTTTAGTTGTAAATATTAACATCGTCTTGTATGTTCAAAATTCTCTAAGAGATGGGAAATACAAGTTCAGTGTTCAAAAAATGAATTCTGTTTTTTTATGCTCTGTTCACTGCATAGAGGATGAGTGTTCTTGCCTCGTATTTGGGTTTTGTAGAAGACAGCAGTCATAATTGCCTTGTTTTTTGTACTGCAAAATTACAAAACACAGCTCTGCAAAGAACAGCAAAGTAGCAGATGAGCATGTACTCATGGTCATCTCTCAATAAGTCCTGTATTTTTATCCTCTTGAATAGTCATTGCATAAAATACTGTATGCAGTGTGGTACCAGAGAAAGGATGTTGCAGCAAAAGGAAGCTGTGCTATTAGAAGTTTGTTAAAATGAGACTGGATAAAAACTTCTGTTATGACTTTCCTCTGTTTTCAGATGATTCTTTCTCACCTCTTGCCTGTACTAGACCGGTTGCTAGAGAAGGTCTTTAAGAAACCTGAGGCAATGTTGAAAGATGAAGTTGTTCTCCTGCATTTCATCCTTGGAAAGTTTAATGAATATTCAGCAACCCTCTTGTGCAAGAATCAGCAGAGTCTAGATTTGTTTATCAGAAGTCTCCATGCTGGCAAGAAAATCTATGAGGAAATTCCACCATTTCAGATCACAGCACTTGGGCAGGTATGGCTTTATGAAAGATCTTTTTAATTGTTGGTTTTTTTTTTTTTTTTTTCTTTATGTTTAAGGCAAATATCAGTGTTTAGGATTGAATTTACAAGGATTCTTTCTATGTTATGAAGTCTATAGATTTTTGAGCTGTCGTCCTTTTAGTACAAATTTTCAGGGTCTCCATGGTGTCTTTGAAACATCTAAACAGGCTGCAGAACTTTCTCTCTTAAACTTAGCAGAAAGAGAAATTGCTGATTGCTTTATATTTGGATTTTGACAAGTACAGAATAGAAATACCATTGTATTTGCACAAAGATAAATACCTGTGTCACTGCCTGCAGAGACTACTGTTCCACTGTCCTTATTTTTGTCAGGCAGGCAGAGGCTTCATGTTTTTCTTCTGGAGAAAAATAGTTAGGAAAATACAGTGGGTGAGATATAGCCTCATTTGAAGGAGGCTACAAATTCAGGCCTTCTATCAGCCAGGTATTAGCATAGACTTACCAAAGGCTGGCAACAACAAGTTTGTTCCTCCCACCAGGTAAGCGGTGTGAAAAATGTCAAGAATCAGTATGTCTGATGCATATTTCAGAAGTATATGCTTGGCATCTAAGGATTCCTGGATAAAATACAGATACATAGTTAATATGCAAATTTTTACAATATATTTTCATACTAACCTGTGTGTGATTTGTTGTGTCACACACAATCTAACATACCTAAGTCCAGAGCTTGTGATTTTGTTACCCTCTTACAGTAAACCTCTGTGCATCCTTTCTTTTTTTCCCTTTTGTAGATAACTAAGCCGTTTTTTGCAGCGCTGTCAGATGGGATGGTGCAACAGAAGCTGTTAAAAGTGTTGTTTGACTTGCTGTTAAACTGTAAGAACCCACTTTGTGCCCAGACAATTAGCAGTGTCTTTAAAGGGGTAAGTGGCAAACTCCACAACACAAAAATATTTTCTAAACCTGTTGTAGTGGTTCTCTGTTGTTACATTCAGTAACGTTCGTTGTTTAAATCATTTGTAGCATGAAGCGAATCAGAAACTATTTGTCATGTAATATAATTGTTAATGGCATGAAGAGTTTGTTAAATGACTGCTTTTAAGAAGCTATTTCTTTAAAAGCCATGCAGTGGTCATTTACTATATTATGACTGCTGAATGAATTCAGCAGAAGTCACTTCTTTCTGCTGCATTTATTTTAGTTGTCTGGGATTTAATTTTCTTGAATATGCGGATTATATACCCATATGTGCATGAAAGGAAAGTGTTTTTTAAAAGAAGAAGGGAACATAGATGCATGGTATGATACTTTTTTCATTGGTACTTATTATAAAGTATATTGACATTGTTCTTTGTTTCAGATTTCAGTGTATGCTGAGCAAATTGTCAGAGAACTGGAGCCTCCAGAGAAAACCAAAAGTCTGGCCACTGTTCAGCAAACTAGAAGGCAGAAAATGCAGCAACAGAGGTAAAGTAACTAGAAACCCAAAAATAGTATCCATACAGTTTGAAAATGCCTCTTGTTTTAGTACAGTGCATAGTTTGTATTGAAAGCGTCAGCATCTGTTTCTTCTTTTTCCCTGCATGGTAAAATAACTCTGGGCTACTTTTGGCAGGAGAAAACCAACTCATGTTGCTGTTTGATGGAACTGATGAAACTATAGTTCAAATTTTAAAAAATAAATTAAATAAAATCCAGTACTTTTAATGTTGACATTTGCTCTTATAGAATCTGTCTTGATACAGTCAAAGATTCATTTTTATAGGTGTTAAACTTGTTTAGCAATAAAGATTTATGGACAGATTTTGTACACATGGCTGAACCTTACAGATGCTCACCAAAATGTTCGCATTAGTTGACTGAAAAACAGTATTTTCTTTCCACTAAAACATGAATATAACCATTAATTTTGAGATCTCTTCATTATTGTTCCTTCTCACCATCCTCATAAGGAAGGAGCTGCTTTGTCTACTGTACTTACTCTATTCTTTAAGCATCAGCTGTCAGCCATTGTTGAAATGGGATATTGAGTTAGTTTCCTTGGTTTGACCCAGAAGAACTGTTCTTATTTTCCTTCACTTGACCTTTTCAAACAGTTGTCACCCATTTGACTGATCTATCTGTAAACTGTCTGTCAGAGTTTATCAACACACATGCTTGCACACGCACCCATTGCCTGCATAGGCAGTGATGAGACAACTAGTAGTTCTGAAGAAGCAGGTTTCCTGGGTGGCAAACAGATCCACATTTGGACACTTATTTGGTGATAGATTTTATTTTTTTTTTCCACAGAAATATTCACAGAAAGCATGCTATACTCCTTTGGTTTTCCAGGTTTGGTCTGGATTTTCTGTTGATTGTTTAAAGCGTATTGCAGCTTGAGTCAAAATCCCACACGTTGCCACCTCTCCCAGGTGAAGCAGTGGAGGATATTACTATGAGGAAGTAAATCTGTTTGTTTTTGGTTTGTTTTTTTTTTTTACTTATGCTTGTGTTTGTTCCCTGAAACAGTGTACGATTTTCTTTGATTTTAGAAAGCCTCAGGATGCAGAACTGGCCACGGAAACGAGCCCGTTCAGCTGGCGGAGGGTTATGCTCATTCTGGAGCTGCTGCAGCATAAGAAGAAGCTCAGGCGCCCGCAGGCGTTGGTG